AAAACATGCTAATATCATCCCTGAAATTCGTCGCATTGATGCTTTGTGACAGTTCCCAGAGCAAAGTTACCCGCAGCTGTTGTTGTGTCTTTCTAAGCATAGATTGTTAATCTGATGAGTTACAACATATCCATACATAGAGGATATGTTGGTAACTCTCGTGAATTTCCAGCAAACCCTTTTACAGCATCTATGAAACAGCGAAACGATGACAATTTTACGACTATTAACATATCAAAAGCCTTATTATCCAAAATTTTGGTTCCGTTGCCGCAAGAAAACTTAATTTTCACTTAATACTTACTCCTAGAGATAGGCGAATCTAAACTATACCCGATGATGATTTTCCTAATCATTCATTAGTCTACTTGCACATTACAGTATTCCTAACAAAGTGGCTAACGCATGGCCACTACGTATTCATTTTAGTCATTTTTCTTTATGATTTGTTCTCATGATACACTGCAAAATACAGCTTCAAAAATACGCATAATGTAAGTTCCACAAATAATTGATTGCCAGTTACAGGTGTGTTAAAACTTTCCATTGCTTTAATTACACAGAGAGATTGTAGTTCCACCCTTCGATTGTTAGGTATGCCTAATTTTTCAAAGGGGGATAATGGATCTAATTAAATCGAAACAAAAGCGAGTTTCCTTGTAATTTCAAATAATTAACTATGACGAAATGTTTTCTGATTCTTTATTAACTCATAATAGATTGAAATTTGAATATAAGGCAAATACGAAAATGAATACTTCATAGGCCTAAAGTGTTTTCAAGACGGCTGATTTCCGATATAGCTGGAGCTATGATGGCAGTAACACCTTTAGCTTTGACCTTTGCCTTGAATGCACGTTCGTCTGCAGGTAGAATAGCCCTAAAATGCAATCAAATTGGCAATCATTTCAAACGTAGGAAAGATTATAGCAAAACTACAAAGCAGATGCAAAAATAGAAGCAAATGCAGTCATATAATGGTGAACCACGCAATGAAAAAACAACAATCAAAGTGTTCATTGGGAACAAATGCTGCAGTCATCAATCCTATTCTTTCATCCCCTAATTGATGACTTAGAGGGATGTATGGCAGGAGAAGTATTCTAGTGAAAGTCATTCAATTTAACTTCTAATTTCAATGTTTCAAAATCACAGCTAAATGCGCATTGGGAAAACTTATTGCAACAACAACTGTGTATTTTCAAGGCCCTTATATTCGAAGTTATCACTTTCATTGCGGTCTTTCAATTTTTCTTGGAAAAAAAGTTAAAGATGTAGCGTTTATCACTCAAACTTTTTTTATGCTCCTGCATTGGTAGACATTATCTTCGAGATTCACCTAAAATCCTTTTGTTATGATCCACTAAACTGACGATTATTCTAAAGAAATATCTCGTTACAGATGAAAACAGTGCATGGGTAAAAGATACTTTTAGTTTATTACTCACGTGCCTTAGACTCCAGCAACACTTAATTCCACATATTTTTTCCGTAGCTGAGAGGAGCATACCTGACCGCAATAAAATTTAGCTTGTTAATAATAATTAGCATGGAAAAGTCAAAACTTAATTTGATTGAATTGAGTTCTTTGGGAAATTTGTTTTCATCTAGAATGTTGTAAGAAAGGTCGGAAGAATGCGTTTAATCTTCCCAGAAGTATTCTGAGCTCCTTAGATGAACATACTTTCTTGACTAATTGAGTTTGCCTTTGGCTTTGACCTCAGTAGTAAAGATATCCAGTTCGTATTCAAAATAAGAGCTCAATCATTTTCTTTGGATATAAAATTAACGAAAGTACCCAAGCTTATTGAATCCGCTTAGAATTGCTAAGGATCCTTTCAAACCAACACGGTTGAGCAGTGAAGGATTATTGACCACTTTTGACACTCTCGGCATTAGCTCCAACATTTTCGGTTCTGTAAAGAAAATTCTTTGATGCTCATCCAATAGAAAACTTTCTTAGGCTACAAAGTGTCACCGAGTGAAGCTATTTCCTCGTCTTTGATTTGAATATTTCGCACATTCTGGATACCCTGTTTCAATTTATTCACAATTCCTCTCAGAAGGGGAAACTTTCCCTGAATACGAGATCTCTAATGTAAAGAATATGAAGACTATTTTGAATGCTATATAACTTACCACGACAAGATTCAATACTTTCGACGAAAGATCCAACGATTGCTGCAGCGTAGATGTCGGAGTTCCGTAGCACTTGAAATGGAAAAAGGCTGAGAGAAAAGGGAAGGTTTCTTCAGAAAACATCCAAGTTTTTATGCGAGCCAATCAGTAAGGGAAATTCACTTTAAAATTCGAAATTTCTCAAGTGTCGTGTAGCACTCATGAATCCTTTAATTGTTTTTATTTGTGTTTGTTTTGACTGAAACTGGTTGAACATTTTTCAACCAAATACTGTCAGAAGATTTTATATCCACAACTCTTTTCCGTAGAAAAAACTTACCACAAGGGGCAACAAAAGGAAAAGCAGACAGGAGGCGTGCATAGTAAGAGTAACAAAAACGCTATGCAACAGAATTTATACGCTCGTTGGAAAAATGAAACTTTCGACAAAACGATTATAAACTCCGCCTGGCAATAATGCCATTTTCCAATCGTCAATTAAGGCATTAATGCAATTTCGAAACCGCAACTCACGTGGAAAAG